TGGCCCCAAAAATCTCTATTGGTGCACCCCTACTTAGAATACAAGTCACAGACGCCTTCTGCACCTTTGGTGTAATTGTTCTAAGCCAATTGTATGCTGAAAGTCATCAGAATACTTTACCTCAATGCAGAGACAAGGCAGTAACTGGGAGTACTGCAAAGAAATAGATTTCAAAGACTCCTTCCCTTTTACCTGAAATGAAAGAGAGGCTGGTGAAGCCAGTATAGCTGCTACCTGTTAACAAAACTGCATAAAAATTATGGGGTGTATTTAACCAATAATCATACCTGAAAGTAGTCCTCTTTCCTGGCCTGATGAAAGGCACTTTGTGCCCAAAAGTTTGTCTAACATTTCTCCCAGTTATATAGTTGGTTCAATAACAAAGAAATCACCAGAAAAACCCCTTATTTTTCTCAGACACCTGAGTAATTTTACTCCTCTGAATCATAGGAAAGTAGGGCTGGAAGAAACCTCTCAATGTCATCTAGTCCAGCCCCCTGCTTAAAGCAGGGTCATCCCTGACTGAATCATCCCACCCAAGAGTCTATCCCACCTGTTCTTGAACATTTCTAAGGATGGAGGTTCCACAACTTCTCTACGCAGCCTGGTCCCATGCTTGAGCACCCTCATAGTGAGAAAATTCCTCTTAATCTCCAACCTAAATTTCCTCTGCTGCAGCTTGAGGCCATTACTCCTAATACTGCCCCCTATGGCCACAAAGAAAAACCCATTTTCATCCTCTCTATAATCACCTTTCAGGTATATGAAGACTGTTATCAAATCCCCACTCAGTCTTGTCTTATGCAGACTAAATAATGCTAGCTCTTTCAAGCTTTCCTCATAAATCTTCAACCTCTAATAATTTTTGTCACACTGCACTGAACTCTCCCCCATCTGTCCACATCCTTCTTAAATGTACAGCCCAAAAATGGACGCAGTACTCCAGGTGCAGCCTCACCAACTCTGAATAGAATGGAAGAATCACTTCCTTGATTTTCAAATATCACTCCTGTTAATATAACTTAATATGCCTTTTTGGCCTTTTTTGCAACAAGAGCACACTGTTGGCTCATATTCAGTTTATGGTCTACTGTAACCCCAGGGCCTTCTCTGCAGTAGTGAGCCCAGCCAGTAATTCCCCTATCTGTCTTTGTACATGCAATTATTTATGCATGCAATTATTTTGTCCCAAGTGCAGGACTTTGTACTTGTCCTTGTTGAATTTCATCTGGTTGATTGCAGACCATTTTCCAGTTTATTCAGGTCATTCTAAATCCTAGTCCTACCCTCCAGAGTATTATGAGTAACTCAATGAATTCAACCTACTCTTTCAGCCTGTAATAAATTTCTTACCCGAGCCAATGCCCCTGCGTCTTCACAAATAAACCATTTGTGACATAAGCGAACATAATAGTCTTGGTCTCCAGGAAAGTGGGATATGTTCACAGATATGACTTTCTTTGCCCTGTCCACACTGTAATCCAACTTCCCTGCTGAGATAAGAAAAAAATACGGAATTATTTCACTGTATTTATAAAGGTTCTTTGTTTCTTTTGTGAATCAACACTGTGAGAAGGGAGACTTGTGAAGTCCTATCTTTTATCATATCATGAGGTCATATCTTTTATCCTACCAACTTAGGCAGACAGCCTAACCTAAATATAGTTAGAACAATTACTTTTGTTTAACCCCATTGTGCTGATAAAAAAGATCGGGAATTGGGAAGTATTTGATCCTTTTCCAGAGCTGAGCATATTTTGTGCCTGAAATGTTGTCTAACATGTCACCTGGTTACAAATTTGATCCAGTAAAAGATTCTACTTCCCCACACAAATCTTATTTCTTGTATACCCCTTTGATCATCACAGCTGCAACATCATACTGCTTCTTCCAGGCTGACATTTATGATATGGTTATTGTAGAAATATACAGATTAATGATGATCACTACTTTATTTTCTATAATCATGATCGGATATACCACAAAGCTGAATTTCAAGGCCCAATCTCTGCAATATTATAAATTCCCATTTATGATATTTGATTTATTCTATGCACAGTTATGTCTACATAAATATCATCTTCCTTTAAGAAACTTCAGTATAAGTACAAAAGTATCTAGTTTAATTCTCTGACAGGACAATATTGGCTATACTTAATAGGGCTCAAATTTCTAGAATTTGAAGTATCAAGGTAAGTGTTGTTCACCTTAGCTCCCCAAACTAATTATTCTGTGGTGAGAAGTGTTAATAGAAAATACATGCAGTTAACACTTAGGCCAATAACAGATTTTATCATTTACTGCCATATATTCAGGTAGCAGGATGGCTAACTATTTGGCTGGTTAATTTTCAATCTAAAGATCCAGACACATGGCACACTTATAAAGGGTAAAGTTATAGATTACACTCTTTGATTCAACTACTTCTGTAACTTCACACTGCTTTTATTAATGATACTGCATAAAGAAAAGCACAGAAACTGATAAGATAAGTATAAGGTAACACTAACCCTACCAGAGCAGAAGTGTTGGAGGGGTGGGGAGAGGAAATAGCAGTTAAGACTTCTCATTTCTGTCCCCAGACCTTACATGGTCTTGGGCAAATTTCATTTTGGGCAAATTTGTTAACACTCCATTCCCCAGTTTACTTCTTCATAGTATTTACTTATTATGGTGAAGTTACACTTAGACTATACTACGGAACCTTAAAATGTGAGTGTCTACATATTAAAGCTCATTAACTTTTCTAAGTGCCCTCTGAGCATCTCAAAGTTAAACCACTTCAAGCCAGGGTTAACTGTCGGCCATGCTACCTAGATCATATTAGGGTAACTTCAATCTGCTCCACAGACATAAAATGAGCAATTTGCAGTCCTCCAGCATCTCAAGATACACTGCTCCCAGGTCCCTCCCTCCCTCACCCAACCACAGCAGGGACAGACGAAGTGCCCTGACTCTTAGTCATACTCCTGCTCACCAACCGTCTAGCAACAAGTCAGAACTGTGCAGGCAAGAAAAGGTTTAACCCTTAATGTACAACTGCTCACAGCATGTTCTTCCTTTAACACTGCTTAATATTCCATAGATTGACTATGGTCTAAGTGTGACATGTAACTTCACCTTTACATCAATGTAACTTACATCAGTTTTGTACAATAATTTAAATTACCACCAGTAACTAAAGCAGATAAATGTGCACCTGTCCCTTCATTGCTGTAGGTTTTTTGACAGTGTCTTGCCTCTAAGTAGAAGGGGAACAGATAAGAGTCTGTTTGCCTTTATCAAATGGCTACCTTTGAGCTCTGGACACACAACAATTAAACCAACTTAACCAACATTAGTGGAGTAGTACTTCTGATTTTCTCAGAATAGATCTACACCAGAATCAAGTAAATTACACAGGAGTAGGGCTGTCCAGTGAATGACCACTTCTTTTTATATGACAGTTTAAGTAGCAGTTACTTGTACTAACGCAAATGTATCATGTGTCCAGGCCTTTTCTGTAAAATCTGTCTAGAGTGGTTTAGCTAGGATTCCTTTCTGAACTTGTCCCTTCACTCAGGGTCAGACTGATCACAGTATTTGGGGTCAGGAAAGGATTTTACCCTATGGTCAGATTGGTATGGACTGTGGGGTGGTTGCCTTTCTCTGTAGCAGGGGGCATGGCCCTCTTCCTAGGATCTCTTGAGCATATTTTTTAACAGCCTTAATAGTAGCAGGATGTTGGCTGCTGTGGTTCCCCTGCTTTACCTGTGGCAGGCTAGGGTGCTATGTCTTGGGTTGTGTGCCATAGTTGACTGTGTGGTTTTGCTAAGAGGTTAGGATTTGTATAGGACAGTTTGAATAGAGATGATCTTGCCTCAGACAGGAGGTTGGACTAGTTCAGGAGGTCCCTTCCAGCCCTACTTCTCTATGATTTTACAATTCTATGAAAAGAAGGAATGGACAGGACACCGATCTGACGTCAGTTCCAGAAAGCCTGTGTCAGGACTCTTCAGCCTTCCTGGACGTTCTATCACGGACCTCGAAGCAGCTGCTTTTAAACAATCAGGCTTTAAAAAACAACTTGATCATAAAATTACAGAACAAGAGATCATCCACAGATTGTGTTAAGTACAGTCTAAATGGAGACGATGGTTTCTTACTGTATTATCTGGATTATCTTGTATGACCCCTATATCCCTATGGGTTTACTGCTGTTTGCCTCTCTCAGAACTGGCCCTTCCCCTTTCCCCTCTTTTCCTTGTCCTTTGCATTTTAATTCACTCTTTCAATTTGAATGCCTGCTCCCTGGAAGTCCTTTTACACCACCTGGAGAAGTGAACTGTTGCTTACAAAAGTTAATACATCTCTGAATGAGTTAGTCCAAGGTGTAACTCTATCCTGTTTTCTGCCTTGCTGTATTATATTATTAAACATGAAGTTACAGCCTTGCTCTTCCACTGTTAGGCATCCATCCATTCTTCCTGCCCCTTAAACATTCTCTACAAAGCTGCCACTATTTTAAAATATATTGATGTTCTCCACAGAAGCATTCAAGTTTTCCATTTGCGTGGGAAGGAAGGGCTGATTGTTTGTTTACACTTTTTATTTCTTAGTGCAGGTCTGGTTTTGGTTTGTTTTTCCCTTTTGGAGGCATGAAGGAAGAAAATAAATAGGCAGATTCCAGAAGAAAGGATTTCAAAACAGGACTGTTCTCAATATACTCAGTATATAAATCCATCACTATCTTTTTAAGGCAAACATGAAAAATTACATGTTTGGTAAGTAAGGTAAATATAAAGGTAAATGGACAATCTTACAAATGGAAACTCTTAATTTGTATTAAATCTGTTTTAAATTTTATTTACTTGGCCATATGTAACTAACTTTCCATTGTGATATAAGAAGTAAGCCTATGTACAAGTCTTGTCCCTCCATTTGTAGACAAAGGCACTAAGATAAATTCTTTGATTCCATGATCTTACAGAACCTGACATGAAGGAGCAGATCAGGTATGGGGGTGCGACTGAACCCTCCCTTTAGACCACATCATGAAAGCAGCTTCCCTCCATACTCAGCAACACATACCCTTCCCAATCTCCGTTGCCCCCTGTCTCACCGCTACTGCTGTTCTTGTTGTCCTCAGCTGATGTAGGAGCAGAGCTTCATTGCTGCTCCTACCCTGCTCCAGCTGGGCTTTACAGGGACCCAGGCTCAGCTGGGGACAGCAGCAGTGGTGGGAAGGTTCCTCCTCCCTGCCCAGTGCCCCCAAGTGTTCCCCATGAGTCTGGTGCAGGCTCAGAGAAAGGGAACCTTCCTGCCACCATCACTGATGTCATCCTCAGCTGATCCTGCCTGAAGCAGGGTAGGCACAGCTCTGGAGCTCCCCCCACCCCTACATCAGCCTGGGACAATGGAGACAATGGCAGTGGTGAGGGGGAAGGGGAGAGGAGAGGAGGGGAGGGGATGTGGTGCTGAGCATGGAAGAGGAGGGGAATTCTTAGCTGTTTTAGGAACTTACAAGTCCCCATTTGCTGCTCCCATAGAGTAGTCCCCCCAGTGCCAGAGCAGGGGGGAAGCAGGGAGTGGGGTTACAACCATCCCTGCAGTGCTGGTCACTGCTCCCACACTCCCTTTTACTAAATACTGGACAGGACCAGACACAGGCATGGGCAAACTGGGTGGCTGCTTGGGGCCTGGACAGAAAAGGGGCCCCAAAATGGTATTTTAAATGTATTATTATTATCATCATCATCATCATCAAGGGGGGCCCAATACTAAAAGTTTGCCCAGGGCTGCCAAGAATCTAGGTATGGTGCTGATCCTGAATCTACTTATGCTGACAAAAGGTTGTCAGACAGGAAATAATACTGTTATAAATATGCAGTAACCAAGATAAAAACATAGAATGATGTAGCACATCATCATACGTAAACATGAAAGAGATTTTCTCATTATATGGACCTATTTTAAGACTTCAAGGGGAGGAGCAGTATTGCCTCCCCTCTCCCACCCCTGGCTGTTTAAAGACTCATACTGACAACAGGAAAGGATGTTGCTTAACAGACTGATTAAAGAGAACTCAGATTAAGAAATTGACTATGCAATGCTGTTAAGCTCTCAAACTGAAAAAATAGGTGGAAAATACAAAGTCATGCCAATGTTTCCTAATCTCATTTGGTTTTAAATAATTTAGATGTTACTCATAATAATAGTTGGCAATGAGAAAACTACTAAAAAGAAAACACAGTATGTCAAGTTGGCTATGCCCCTTTCAATAGAAATCTTTCCTGTAGGCCTTATGCATTTGAGCAGTCCAATAATAGTCCCTGTTCATTTGACTGATTTCTATAGGATTATTCATGAAATGCACGCAGGCTGCAACAAGTATCTCAGAATGCATGGATAGGACCTGACCTGCATGTATGTGTTTATAAGTTTAAACAGGGCACTAACTACTTCATCTGTTAGCTAAACCTTCCAAATGAGTATTCATAAACACTTACATTTTCCAGCATATCCAAAGCTCTGCCAATTCTGTAATAACTGCACTGGCAATAGTGATATATATATATTCATTTTATCTTTATATTTGTATGTATCTATTCATATCTGTTATGGAACTATGGAAATATATCAGTGTACAATCCACTTGAAGTACTGACAGCTCTAAGCTATATATATTTCCTGCATTGTTAGACTACATAAATATACAAAAGTCAATGGAGTTAGCTCACCCGAACAAGATGGAATATGTTTTCCCACATCATTGTTTCTGCAGTCTGCAAAGTACAAAACAGAATATTTATTTATATACCTACAGGATATTTATGTTTCTACAAGATACCTCTATAGCTTCCAACACCATAATATCTGAGTGCCTCCCAACAGAAAATGTATCTAGTACTCCTGAGGATCATCTCACTAGTTTTGAAAGACAGATTTACACCCAGTAAAAATTCAGAGAGGATAACAGCATACAGCAAATACTTCTTTCCCATACACTGATCACCTCACAGGAAGTAATGCAGAAGATCTCTCAGTGGTTTAGCCTTTTCCCACTATATATCCTAATCAAAACTTTAAATAAATTTCTAATCTGGGCTACTAAACCACACCCCAACCCCCTTTATGCAGTGTACCCATTAATAATTTTAGTCATTCCTCCCTTGAATAAATCTTCAATAGCTTTCCAGATTCATATATCTGAAATAAGTAATTTGGAACTTTTCCCATGTTAATTTCTCCCACCCCAGGCTTATTTTAATAATATGTTATTTAATGCTTAGGAAGTTAGCCAGGAATAAAGGCCAGTTAAATACGTGGCAGACAACAAGGACATAGAACTCAGTGCTTTAAAGCTTGATTCAAAAGAAGACTAAACCTGATCCATACAATTACAAATCTGTTTCCTAATCTGAATTTTTCCCTCTCTTTCTGCCTAAATCAATATTAGAACCATATTTTGTTTTCTTTTTCCTCACATACTGCCAGGAGCAATTCTTCAGTGTATTTCTTTGTTCCTTCTTCCATATAAAGTGTTTTTATATTCAGTTTTCATAAAAGCTGGGGGCTTTTTTCCATTTAAGTTCACAAAGTACACTTTACATATAGGCTAGGTACAGACATTCAAAAAGCCTGAGGCAGAATCGATCCAAGTTACAAGATTTTCTGTAAGCAGTGTAGTGTAGATTGGTAGTGAACAGAGCACACATTCACCCTTTGGTGGTGGGAGCAAATCTTAGACTGGGTTCCACCATTTTTAAACCAGTCTCTGTGTGCTGAACTTCTGTTTCTGAAACACCGGTTTCCAATCACTTATACTGGTAAAAGTAATGTCTGAATCTGGCCACAATGACAAATGTGGTAATTTAATAAGATATTGAAATTCTTGCTGAATACTCCAAAGTTTACATATATAGTAAGATGTAACAGTATCTAATTTCATCTATGCAATGTCATCTATCAAATTTTATAATAATAAATATTTGGGAGTCTAGAACTGTTACTATAATACCCAAATATACTGGAGCAAGTGGTAGAAGATCAATTAATTGAAAAGAAAAGCTTTGCACGTTTGTTTGGAATTTCTTAGTAAAATTTCCCCCAAGGGCTAATTCTGTCTTTGAAAGCATATATTGGAATTCAGTTGGAATGAATTTATTGGAATGACTTTAAGCCATATTCCCAAGTGATGTTAGAGGCTCCAATTTATATGCATAATTATATGCAAAACAATTAGGTAAAAGTGCATTCCTGACTGAACCTGTACATTCAAGCTGCCAGAGGCATAAGTACAGTTATGTAGGTACAGTTTTGGTTCTGGATTTTCACACCCTTTCATGTATCAATCTTGGGTTTCCATTCACAAAGACCAGATTGAACTTCAGCTTGTATAAAAAGGGTATATCTGAACTGGTGTGGCTTCACTTAGGTGAGTTTATCCCAGAACAGGACCTGGCCTCAATGTTTTCCCCCCGCTGAAACATCATGTTATGGACAATATCCTACCTTCAACATAGTATTCCTGACTCAGCTTTACTTCACAGTAATTTGGTATTGTTTTCATAGTCACATAGATGTGCTGCGCTGCTTTGACTTCAAAACAATTAAACTGTACTTGTATCTGTTCAAAACATGTATTTAAAATCAAGTTTATGTATGACTTTCAGAAGGCATGCAAACTACAGAATATTACAGGATTAAACATGGGTTCTCTTTGGTTTCAACTAGCTTCTGATGACAAACAATATGACAAAGAAAGAGAAATTGTTTTCAGAAAGGATTTCCAAGAGTATCAATTTCTGATTGAAGAAATGATCAACTGTTGCACTTATAGGCCTGCATCCACATGAGCATGGACATTTGTTGCCCTGGGGGCAAGAAGAACTGGCACACCTTGTGCCGCTGCTAGTTGTCCCCAGGGAACGCCTATGCCACACGCCTTCTGGCACGCAGCAGGTTACCCCAGGTGGGGTAGGGGAATCTGGGTCCAGTAGCCTTATCTGGGGTACTGGGGACCTCAGGTAGCTGCAGCCAAGGCTATACTGCTGCTCAGAGTCTGATCAGTAGCTGGAGCATGGCAGTTTTGGGCAGCGTGCACTGCCCATACGTGCACCACCCCGCTTTTTTTTCCACATGGGTTTTTTTTACCATGGGATCTCCCTGCTAACTTACAGTACAGAGAACACCTGAATGTGCAGTGCTTGGCACCACAGACAGGTCTGCAGCACCACATATTGCATGGCCACACTCATCTGGATGCAGCCCTAGACATACAAATATCCATGAATTATCAAATGCTTTTAAAAGCTAAATGAAGGTAAACATGAAGGCTGAGATTGGAATCACCTTTTGAATTTCAGTGAAGAGTGGATACCTCCATTCTATTGGCCCTCTTTAAAAATCCCAATTTAAATGGCATTTTATAAGCCCTAGTACAGCTAATGCTTAGTCAGGAAGAAATACCCTGATGACAGAGTCTATGAAACACCTTTTACTTTATTTTTCATGACCAGTGCTAACTTTTTTCATAATGATTCTGCAATTTAGGAGGCCAAACTGCAAAGCCATTTAGGTTTCTTTGAAAGCTTTAGCCCAGATCTACAGAATTATAGAAATTAAGGGCTCAAAGGGACCTCAGAAGATCATCAAGCTCAACCCCCCTGCTCTGGGCAGGAATACTGCTGAGATCAAATGATCCCAACAAGGTGTCTGTCCAGTCCCCTCTTGAAGACTTCCAAGGTTGGGGGCTGCACCACCTCCTTGGGAAGTCTATTCCAGATTCTGGTCACCCTTACCAGAAAAAAAGTTCTTCCTTACATCCAACCTGAAACCATCCTCTAACAGTTTATGGTCATTGCTCCCTGATGCCATTCCATTTGCCATTTGGCTCACTGGTGCCAACAATTCCCATATTCCCTTCTAGAAAAGTCTTTACATTGGCTATATATATTTTTGGGATAGGTTGCTAAATATACAACAGTATGAATTATGACTCATCAGAAATCACCCAAAGGTCATTATTTGTTCATCAAATGTCAATCTTTGGCATAAGGATTAATAATAGATGGTTACAGTAATCATCTTAATTGCTTCTGTAAGTTAGTCATGTAGGAGCTGAGACAAGAGAAATAAAATCACTTGAGGTAATTACTCTACCTAGTGGATTCAAAAGGATTCCATAATTTTCCAAGTAATTTTCCTCCCAAAATCCATAAATATGTTTTCAGAAGGATATACATGCAATCTATCCCAAGTTCAATATTTCTGGCTGTTTAGCAGCTCTGTGTTGCACTAAGATGCATATGTTCAAAGGATGCTATTGGAGTGTTAGTGGCCAAATACCATTTAGAGGAAAAAGATCTCATTTCTTATGTGTGACCAAAATGGTCTGTATACAGGCACAAAAAACAAACCCCTTTGTGGTATTAATAAGCTAGCTACCTACCAATAAGTAAAGACAAAATTCATCTCTCGTTTTTCATAAAGTGCAACAAACATTTAAAGATGGCCTAGCTTTTGGTGCTTACAAATTGTAAGCGCAAATACTTAAAGGAGCAGTTTTACATTATAATTTATTTGCAGTTGCAATCACCCTAAAGGAAAAAAAATAAGTAACTCATAAAATCATACTCATAGGCCCAAATAACATTGTGCCCTGTAGATAACTGAAGGTGCAAAATTTCACCCACAATTTTGCTGGCACAAAAGAAAAAAATAAATATAGAGCATGATCATAAACTTGTCTCTATAGAGTATAGTACCTCATGCACCATGATAAAGAAATGGTAAAGAAGAGAGTTTACATGTTAAAAAAGTGATAAGATTTGAATTATATTTCACTATAAGCAGGTTTTCCTGTATCTTTATAGAAATGTAAATTTCATGTTCAGTTTTCTACACTTGGTCTGATGTAGAAAATACAAGTTTATAATGAACTTTGGGGGTTTTTCCTTAAAGACTTATAACATTTTTATACACAACTGAAACACAGTCTACCTTCCTTCCAAGAGGCTGCTGGTTTGTTTTGCGAGAAAACCTCACATTCATGCAACTGGTCTGCTGTGTGTCCAGTGAGAGATAACAAATTTCCAGCCCACGAATATTTTCTGAAATTAATCATAAAATTTATTTTAAAAGTCTACTTGCACCATCTTTAGAAAACAAAAGATAAACCAAACAAGTACAGTGCATTCAGAGTATTTTATTCTACATTTAAGATGCATATACTTCTTCTGAATGCATATACTTCTTCTAGTATTTATAATTATATCAGAGAGAACATATATTGTTAGAAATTAATGGGCTGATCTTGCAAACCTTTAGGCATATGCTTTATTTTAAGCCTATGAGTAGCATATATTCACTTCAAGTTAAGCTTATAGATAGAATTATAGATAGAAGTTTGAAAGATTTGGTCTACATAGGTCCATTAACAAAATATGAAGATTAGATTAATGATTAAATTAATTCAAAATGGTTATGGCATACAACTCATTTACACATTCATGGCTCGAACAGAGCTGAGTGGACCCTGTGGGGGGACAGGGGAAGATGCAGGCTGCCCATGTGGGCTCAGAGCTGCCCACCCTCCTGCCCTCCACCCAGGAGCCCCACACCAGCCATGCCACCATGGCAAAGCACACCATGCCTGTAGCAAAACCCCCAGTTTCTTTTTTTTTTTTTCAATTGCATTCCCTCCCCTTCCCCAACCATTTCTGACTTTTTCTCTCCCTCTCTATTCCATATAGATAAGTATAAGTGAGTTCAGACTTAGGATAAGCGTTAAACATTTTTATTTTGGTAGCAAGTTTTTGGTTTTGGAAATCCACTGTTTTATATTGTATTATTATTAGGTTTGTGTTGATTTTTACTGTTGTATATTGTATTATTATTATTATTTTCGTATTGATTTTTATTGTTTCATATGGATATTGTATGGTTTAGGCCTGTGTTTGTAAGTGAACCAACGTCAGGTCAAGTTTCCATTTTTTTATGTCAAGCCTCCATCTTGTGTCCTTTGCCTGGGCAACCCATGTTGCAAGTGTATAAGTCACGTACCCCTCCCACATAAATTGGTTCCCCAATGAATGAGTGTGATTGGAAATGATTGAAATACAATGGTAGCAGGCCTCTACTGAATGGCCTGTAATGACTGGACCATCACCTCGCATTGATTCACCCAGGAACCACAGACCTCACCCAGGAACAGAGAGAAGACTAGCATTTGAAAGACAAAGGACCCTGCAAAACCAGCAACTCTCACCATTACAGACACCTGAAACTGCACATCCCTGCATGGAGCACACATGCTCAGTATGCCAGGGGCTGACCCTTGCCTGGGCATGCCTCCTGTCACTAGGGTCACACAAGGTCTGCCCCCTATAAAAAGGGGCAGTGAAGACAGACCCAGTGGAAACGCACTCTCCATCTGCACCAGCACCATGCCTATCCACCCACAGGCCCTGCCGGCGACCCCACTCTGGACAACACCTACGGGACAAGGACCCTTTCCAGCCTGGATAGGTAGATAGTACCTGCACACCTCCTCCTACAATTTGGACTCTCTCTTTCTCTGTCTCTCTCTCTCCTCCTGGACTTCAGTGGACTTCAGCCCCTGCACCAAGCTTCTTTAACCCCTGCTGCCATTGGGGCGGGGGAGGAGGGAGGTGTGTGTGGGTGGGTGCAAGGGAACCAATTTGGCATTGTGTCATCATCTCCCCTATTCAATAAAACCACTGACATTTGCAACCCCGAGTTGGGTCATGTTTTACTGAATCCCAGTCCCTTCCTTATCTTAAATTCCAGCCTCATTCTCTCTCAGCTCCAGTTCCCACCCTCTCTGCTAGTTTCCTGATCTCCTCCCAATTCCATCTCCCCTTTTCTGCCACCTCTCAGCCTCTCCTTGCTTTCCTGCTGTCCCTGCTGCCTGCTG